CCTCTCCCTCCGTCCGTCTCTCCTGTGGGGTCCCACAAGGTTCCATTTTGGGTCCCATCCTCTTTTCAATTTATATGCTTCCTCTGGGCCGAATAATTCAAAAGCACAACATTTCTTACGCCGACAACACTCAGCTTTATCTCCCCCAAAATAAAACAATCAGGCCAATCTCTATGCCTAGAGGATATAAAGTGTTTGTTGGCACAGAACTTTCTTCAGCTAAATGAAGGAAAGTCTGAAATAGTCCTATTTAGCCCTTCCGACCCCATCAAATCAGGTACTACCAGTCTTGGCAACCTCTGTACCCTCGTCAAACCCCATGTCAAAAATCTTGGTGTTATATTTGATTCTGCCTTTAAGTTTGACAAGCAAGTTAATGCAGTAGTTAAAGCAAGTTTTCTCCAGTTGCGCACCATTGCCAAAATCAAACCATTTCTCTCCTTCAAAAATCTTGAGAAAGTCATACACACCTTTATATCCTCTCGGCTGAACTATTGCAATTCTTTATATACTGGGATTTGTAAGACATCCCTATCTCGCCTCCAACTGGTCCAGAACTCTGCGGCCAGGCTCTTAACTGGAACCAGGAAGAGGGACCATATTACTCCTGTTTTAGCTTCTCTCCACTGGCTGACGGTTAGTTTTAGAATAGATTTTAAAATACTCCAATTTGTTCATAAAGCCCTAAATGGGCTGGCCCCCACCTATATCACTGACCTCTTACCCCGTTATTCAACCTCTAGGTTACTTAGGTCGGCTAACTTGGGCCTACTGGTTGTCCCATGATCTAAACTCAAGCTCCGTGGTGACCGCGCCTTTGCTGTTACAGGCCCCAGATTGTGGAATACCATTCCCCTCCATATAAGAACTTCCCCTTCCATTGACACATTTAAATCCAGGCTGAAAACATACTTGTTTTCTCAAGCATTGGAATCCTCTGGTTGTGGCTAATTATTATTATAATTTTATTTTATTTTTTTTGTGTTTATGTGCTGTGTTAACTGTTGTCTATGTTGGTGTTTTCTTAATTGTACTTCTGATTTTAGCTATTTGTTTGCTCTGTATAGCACTTTGGTCAATGTGAGTTGTTTTAAATGTGCTTTAGAAATAAATTTGATTTGATTTGACTTAATTGTACGTTTTTTAATTTTTTAAATTTAATGTAATGATTTTTGGAAGTGTCTTCGCCTCACGGAATTGTCTTCTATATGCCTAAAACTTTTGCACGGTAATGTATATATTTTTTGTAATTTTTAATCTTACTTTAGCATCTGATTGGCCATTTTTCACCATCACTACTGGAGTTATTCATGAACACTTCATAAAACTGTAAATGCTCGTAAAGTTTTGAATATGCTTAATTAACCCTTTTATTGGTTGATTTTCATCCAGCTATACAGTGCCACTCGTTTAACCATATCTGAGATAATAGTAAATTCTTCTGGAAGTGTATGAATAATGTCATGCAAACAGTAAGCCAGTGACGACAAAAATGTATTTTGACTGGTAGAAGGGTTAAGGTTAAAGGGGTCATATTATGCTTACTAGGTTTTTATCTTTTCTTTAATGAGTCATATAGTTTTTTGTGCCTGTGACAGCATCTGTGACGTCACAAGGCCCAAAGTCTACGCCAGAGGGAGTTATTTTTTCTGAGAGAATACACTGCTCCTGAACTTCCATGAAACTCCTTGTTTGTACTCCAGGCTTTTTTTCCAGAACATGTCCTCATCACAAATGTAATACATCTTCTTGATGCCAGACTAGCACCTAGTTTGGCACACCCTTGTACAAAGCAGAAGGTTGCGCAGAAGCAGAGAAGAGTCATGTAAGTGTGTATCCCCATGGTGAGAAGATGCTGTAAAACCCCAACGTTTTATCATGTTCCCTTCATTTTTACCAAGCTTTGCCTCCAGAACCATGATTGGCCAATCTCAACCGAGTGGGCCTTGAGGGAGGGAGCCTTAAACAGATAGGACCCAAAACAGCCCGTTTCAGAACAAGTGAGCCTAAGGTGCTGGACACACAGCCTGTGCAACTGTAACTGGGTGCTTTTTGACCATGTAAAATGAACAAATGTTTGTAAATAGACCATTAAAGGAAAATATTAAACTGGAAAATGGGCGTAATATGACCACTTAGAAGAAAACATACAATATCTACTGCAAACAAAAAGACACTGTAAGCAAAGAAAACTAGATCAAGCGTTTTGTGTTTTCTCTTTCACGTGCAATAATGATTTGGTATTGAAATAAATGCTATTTTATCCATGAGTGATTCACATATTTTAGTTTCAGCTGCAAAAGTCAGTTCGTTTACATTCCGCTAAATGCCACTATGGGGTTGTCGGGCTCTCCTGAGCTTTCATTCTCTCCTGTGCTGAATTTCCTCTGCCTGGCAGGCATAGTCCAGTTTGGGGAAGTGGTTTTGCCTTTACACATTGAGGTTAATGTTTACTTTACTATATATATATATATATACTATATTTACTATAAGGCAGCACATGTGTCAATAATTGTGGTTTGATGGCAGAGAAAAAAATTTAAGTGGGCCTGAATAACTTCTCAATAGTATAACATTCATACATCTTTCATAAATGTTAAAAATAACTCTTATGATACATTTATTGTATAAGGAACACATACCTTATACAAAATTTTCAGTGGTTATGTATTTACCAAAAAATTGATGTAATCCTGTCAAAATTTTTCAAATGACAGGGAAGGCAAAGCACTTTTCATCTTTTACTATTGAACATCAGTATCCCGAAGTTTGGGCTTTAAATAGCTATTCAGAGCAGAAATGGGTCAATACTAAAGTCAAGCTTAACTGAGTCTGTTCCACAGCTCACTAAAAAGCTCGAGGTGTAGGAATTAGTGCATGACCCCAGACCACTCAAACTTCTGAGACAGTAACACTGTGAGTTCTGTGGTTCACCACTGCTGTCGTTAAGCTGAGGAGTGATGCAGGAAGCCTGTATATGGAGTCCTGTGGAAGGCTGTTAAAGGTGCAGTGTGAAGGTGCGCGGTGAAAACCAGGTGAGTGTGTATTGCGAGGATAAGGTGTGTAAGCCAGGTGTAATGTGAGAGAACACGGTGATGGAAGGTTGAGAGGGTTGGCTGTGAATGCCCACAGAAACTTCCCAACCCTTACCACTTATAAACACTTGTCAGCCCAGTGCTCACACTCTCAGTGCTCACATTCCTCTAGTGTGAGACAGTGGAGCTCCCTGTGAACCTACTCAACTCATGCATTCGCCTGTCTCTCTATTACAGCTGCTTATATACCCCACAAGTCTTTTTTGATCTCCATGGGTGGTTTAACCTTCACTTTTAGTTCTTGCGCATTTGCTTTTTGTGTTGTGTTTTATTATTTTTATATCTCTTTGCTGGGATGCACAGTGAACCTGCGATTGTATTTTGATTGTGAATTGTATATGTGAGGGGACATCTCTCACTCCATTGCTCTCCCATGAACCAAAACTACCAGAGGAGTACACAAACCTCCATGTCTCTGTGGGGGGCATGAAAGTGAAGAGCATGAAGCCCTGTCTTCAGTGTGGTTTGACCATGAAATCATGACAGAAAGAATCTGGGGGAGTGAGAGAGCCCAGAGGGAGTCCAATAGAAACTGTTAGACATGTGGTTACTAAAATAATAGCAATGTGGTTTATTCTGGAAGTATGAGAAGCAGACATCGCTGCTGGCAGTGGTTAGAGGGGATCTGTCCCAGCAAATTTCCTGTTTGAAGCTGAAAAGAGGTAGATATCATTATCAAAAGTGCTGCTTTGGCCACAAACTTCAATTAGAATGTGTGTCATTGGTGGAGGGGTTTCCCTGCTGAGAAGCAGAAGGATTTGATATACCTGCACATTCCTGTGTGTGATCCTGCATGTTTTTTGGTGGGTATGTGTGTGCATCTGTGTGGTGCATTTGTTTATGTAATCGTTTTGAAAGTTACTGCCTTCATTACCACTAGCTATTTAGAAGATGCATCCAAATACTCACAAAAAATATTCAAGACGTTTGTCCTTGAACTGTTGAAGAATTCTGTATACAACAAAAAAAGAACTGAAACTCAGAATGCCACTTTTTTGTGACAAGTTTTTTTTTTTGCCATTATTTTTGTGAACTAGCCATCATAATATTTGTTTCCTGAGGGGGATGAAGGGAGATGGCAAGTGGTGGACAATATTTCATATGAAGGTCTTTATTAATGTCATTCCATTCTAATCTATGGAAGGGAATGTCAGTTTCCTTTCTCTTACCTGCCTAACCTGACTCTCCTGGTGAGCGCTTATTGAATGAAACGTTGGTTAGAGTTCCCATGATGTGCACACGCTGCCCCGGGATGCACTCGGGGAATCCCCTCATGATAGCCAGATTTCTGCATCTCTCAGAATGGCACTGTGAAATGCTCGCTCCATAGCAACAAAATTGTGATAAATGGTCTCAACTTATCAAACAAATTGGAATTTTTGTTCCTGAATAAAACTTCGCAGAGGATATAGAGCTTGAACCTCTCATCATGCTTTGCCTGAAGGATTACATCTTTATCAGCTCTCCTAGAACCTCAGGCCACGGTGGAAGACTTGCTATGGTGTTTAGTGGCTGCTTTCTATGTCGCTTTGTGAACACTGGGTCTTTGTCCTCATTTGAGCTTCAAATGACAGAAATTGGGCTTGTAAATCCTTTTCAACCATTACCATCCATTGGGCCCAGAAGTATCATTTTCAACTGAATTCATTGACTTTTTGTCCTCTGTCCTTACGCAATCCAGATTTGGTCATTATTTAACATGTATTAGGCCTGACACACAATAGAGGACATTCTATGGACCATGTTTTCTTGTTTAACAACACTTTGAGCAATCTCATGTCAACATACAATTTGTTCATACCAATGGGCAATTTAGAGTCTCCAGCTAGCCAAGCATGCATGTCTTTTGACAGTGGGCGGAAATCCTCATCAACACGAGTAGAACATGCAAACTCCACACAGAAAGGCCGCAGGCTGGATTTGAACCCGCAACCTTCTTGCTATGAAGCAGCAGTGCTACCTGCTGCACCACAACTGCATTTTACTGTATTTGGTTTGTTGTTTAATCAAGGATCCTTACACTGTTGGCGCGTAATTAGCATTTGCATCTTTTACCATCTTTCTGCAAAAAAAGTTTGCTGCAACTTTCCATTTTAACTCTGTTTTGTGAAGTTGAGTTGTTGGTGCAATCTTTTTTTAAAAAAAAGCTGCCTTTCAGTGGCCCCTATTGCAATTAGATTTGGTCCTCCCCTTGGCTAAATGCTATAAATATCCACCAAACTACACATCCACTGTCTTTATCCAGAAGATCTTTAAATTTCTTTCAAAAATGTAGTAAAGGACACCAGAGCTACCAACCTTTCTAATCTTGCGTCAAGCTGTCAGCGCAATCCCAAAGTTTTATTTAATAGCTTAAGCAATACGTTTACTCCTGCATCATCTGGTATTTCATTTTTTTAAAGGGAGAAATGTAACAAATGCATTTCTTACTTTGTGGGTAAGATTAATTACATCAAATCTATTTTTTCTCCTCACCTCCCCCAGTTGTGTGCTCCTCTTTGGCCTACAATCCTGGAGAGTTTTTCTCCTGTAACACTCCAAAATATTAGGACAACCCAGCTTCCAAAAAAAGTTGGGATGCTGCGTAAAATGTGAATAAAATGTCATATGAAGTGTCATATGTGTCATATGAAAACATCCTATTGCACCCTCAATATCTTACCAACATCTTTGTTTAAAAATGTCATTGGCTCTTTTGATCCTGTTGTACTCTCTGTAATCAACAACTCTCCGTTATTTGGTCATGTCCCTGCTCAATTCAAACTAGCTGTTTTTCAACACTTCTCAAAAAACAAAACCTTGATACTTCTCTGCCCAAAATTACAGCCCCATGTCCAATCATGGTGATGTCGGATAATGTTTGGTGTTGGTGCTGTTGGACCTTCGTATCATGCTTGAAATACCCATGCAGTGGGTGGATATCTCTGCATCAGCCCTGAAGTGGCATTCCTCCTACCTCTCTGATAAAAGTTTTGGCGTTTACGTTGGCATATTAGCCTTTTCATCGGAAACTCTGTTTATTGGTGTGCCCCAAGGTTCAGTCCTTGATTCTCTTCTGCTTGCCTTGTGCATCCTTCTCCACAGGCAGATGATGATACACTTTAAACCTATCACTGTGGTGCGAATTCAATTGCACAACATTTAAATCTCAAAGCAGAGCAGAAAAAAAACAATGGCCTGAAAGCTTTAAAAATGTAGATGGCAGATAAATTTTAATAATGAAAAGCAGACCAATCCTTATTCCTTCCCCACCGAGTCTTGTCACTCAGACATGAGATCACCTTAGGTTCCTTACCTCCTCAGTCCTCCCTAAGAAATCTAGGTGTCACTATGAACTAGGCTCTGAATCTGGAACATGTCAAGTGTCTGATTTTCTCTTGGTTTTTTCCAGTGGGGAAAAATTGCAAAGCTTAGACCCACTGTATCTCAAGCAGAGACGGAAATGTTAATTCATGCTATTATATCATCTAAGCGTAATCATTGTAACTCCCTTTTCTCCTACCTCAGCAAATCTTCCTTGAATCATTCACAAGTGGTCCAAAAAGCTGCTGTTAAATGAGGTCCTCTTAAAGGTATCTTGTGACACCAATTCTGATTGTTCTGCACTGACTCCCTATCAAATTCAGAATCCAATTCAAAGTTCTTGTGATCACCCATGGAGCTCTGCATGGTCAGATACTGCCAATATTACAAATTTATGGCAGCCCTATGTCACAAGCAGGGTTCTAAGATCCTCTGATCAGGGTTTGCCAGTTGTTCCTCAATCTAGGCTGAAAACTAAAGGACACTGGGCTTTTGGGGTTGTGGTTCCTACACTTTGGAACTTCCTCTCTTCGGACTTAAGATCTGAGGCTCTATGGACACCTTTAAAATGCAGCTCAAGAACCATTTGCTTAGACTTACCATTGTGTAATTTTTCAATTTTCTATTTATGTCCATTTTTATTTTGATTTATATCTGTATATACTGTATGTTTATGATTTATTTCCTCCATCAAGCATTTTGTGATAAAATGTTCACGAAAGGTACTATAGAAATCATTCAAATTACTTTCATACTTACCTATTGGTAATTATGCTGATTAATATCCTCAGAAAGAACAAATATAACCACTCATAAAAGGACATTGCGTCCGCTTACAAAAAGTACAGTTCTTACATGACACTGATTATCATAGTGAGAGGGCAGTGCTGAGTACACAACAGGATCTTTGACTCAACAATAAATTACTTTATCATTAAAGGAGTGTCAAGTTATTAATTGCTGATGAAATACTTGGTAAACTGTCAAATTTTATGACTGTTTAGGATTTTTAGTAAAGAAAAATGAAAATTTTTTTCCCCCATTATAAGCAGGTGGAACAGGGGGTGACAGAATCTATTTGATGATCCCATAATATTGAGTCAAAGTTAATGTAATGCTGCGGCACATTATTGTGGACATTTAGCATGTTTTAGCCTAATTTTCTGAGTAATTATTATTTTCCTGTGGCCCAGTAGCTAATGTTCCGTAGCTCGCAGCTGGCGAGTCATCATGATACCAAGCTTTGCTCCAAAATGAAATTCAACAATGAAAAATCCTATTTATAAAGTAGATCTCACGTTTACACATGGTCAGATATCAGAGGAAATCTATGTCACTAATTGTTCAGTTAATAATCAAAAAGGGAAAAAATCAATTTGGATTTTCGAGCTAGATATGATAATCCCAGCTTTAGTCCATTCCTTTGCCTAAGCATAACTGGGATAAGGACAGCTATTCAGGGTCCTTTTTTATCAGTAATAAATAAAAAACTTTGTAGAAAATCTATTTAATAACCAAAGGTGACTGGTGAACCATACAAATTATCTGTCAAATAGCTGGGAAAACATTCTAAGTTTCTGCTTGAATCAACCAAACCTTAAGACATATTTGAAGACATTTCTAAATAAACCTAGTGATATTTTAAAGCTAACTGAAGTCCTTATTGAAAGTGCCCAAGTTCACTCAGAGCCAGGGGTCACTTGAGTCCTCCTTTGGAGAGAGACTTCTCATTCAGGGCCAGTGAAGGCGTACCGAGAGCCCTGAGAATCGGGGAGTTTTCACTGATCTCTGTTTCCTCTTAGAACTGGGAAGAATAAGGAAGAAAATATAAATCATAGTTTCTTTTGATTCAGGGCTTTTTTATGACAGCATATGAAGTGGTTTTGATATTTGCTAGTGCCTACTGCCAGCCCATATTTGGCTGTGTTGCCTCATTTCCCCATGATCTATTGATGTGTTGCTTTGAAATTTAGGCATTGGACTTGGGGCAGATGACTGATGGAGTTTTAACTGATATTTTTTGAGCAAAGTGTTTTGTTCCAGCGTGCTCTTTACCCTTTGGAGCTTACAGTCACATGGGTATTTCAGAATTAGACTGGTCCCCGAATCAGTTATAATGTTATAATAAACCCATCAGTGAAAAAAAAAACAAAAAACTAAATACTCTTTTAGTCATCTGAAACAAGTAAAAAACCAAATGAAGTAATTTGATCGTGACATGTTTTAGCTTTGTTTTGGAATTTTTATAGCTAATAATCAGAGAAACATCCTCACAAGTACTTGTCCAATGTCTTTGGGACAGTTGAAGTGTTTGCTAGAATTGGAAAAGGCCTACTTTGAATGTATTTTTAGCATTTACAAATAGTATTGGTAATATCAACATTTTTGCCAAATAAACCATTATCAGATGGTGGGTCAATTTTACACACATAAATCACGTTATACCCTTGAACTAAAGGTTGTATTTTCTGGATTGTTTTCATTCAAATTAAATTTAGTCAAGGACTAGGTTTTAATACGTGAAACTGAATAATTAATTGCTTTATTTATACAAATAAAATATTCTATAATGCAAACTATGTAATAAGTTTGATGATCTCCTTGCTCCTTAAACACTCAAAGACCCATGTTGCAGTACTTGCCAAGTATACTGTTCAGTTCTGATCAAGAATCTTTGGCACATGTATACACTATATAAAGCAAAAATGTTTTCAAATATTACTCAATTATTGAAATGTTTGTGAATATCAAAAAATGTACTATTAAAACTTGTCACCACCATTAACCATTAAAACTGCATCAGTTCTTGTGGGTTCATGGTCCTTTTCAGGGAAATTCATTTTTTAGGTTGTTCCAACCATATTGGAGCTGTATTTCCTCTTTGGAAAAGCTGCCTTACTTGCCTTTTTCTTCTCCTCCTCATGTGATCCTAGAAAACCTACCTTGTGTTTAACTGGTCCTATCCCACGTTCATGGTCCTCCGTCCAAGATTTCCCCTACCCCCAGAACTGCACATATTTGTACATATTTTTCCTCTGTAACCAGCAGACTGATATTTATTAGTTCTAGGGAGGCAAGTTGAGGCCATGAGAATTCAAATTAACCTTAATATTAAAGTCCAAATGTGTAAACAAATAAAATCAAATGAAACTTTTTTCAATGCATCCCCAATTCATTACACTCTTTGTTATAGAATCACACCACCCCCACCCCCAAACCTCTTTTGATTAGTTCTATTTTTTATTTATTTATTTATTTTACCTGCCATTGCCCCTACTTAGCTCTGCCTCTTCGGCAGCCTACCCTCCCTGCTCTCTGGAATATCTGCATCCCATCCCACCTCACCAGTATCCTGTATGCTGCTGCACCAGCCAAACTTGTCACATAAACACTCTCTTTCCTACCTCTTCTCCCTCTTTCTCTCTCGTACTATCCAAGACAGTTAAAACTCTGGAATGCTCTGCTTTTACCTGGTCTGCACATAAATCACTTCTGTCCCATAAAGGTCAAAACTATTAAAGGCCACATTTCCCAGCATTCCATCCCCACCTTCTTTCTTCTTTCTGTTTTTGAGGGAACATTTTTTAAAAAAATATGAAATCTGTAGGGATATTTTTTCAATGCACTACCCAAATTAGGGTCCAGGTTTCTATTTTCATTTTTTTAAGTGGTGTT